AGATTTCCATAGAAGTATTAATAAATATTCTACTAGCTTTTTGTTCATATGTCATTTTGAGATGCTTGTCACTAATCCAAGCAAATTTCTTACTTTATAATACAGTATTTTTTTCTAAAGAATTATATACCTGTATTATAAGATACTGGATTATATTCTTTAATAGGTGTACGTGTTGAATATCCCTTATCTGAAATGCATGGGATCAGATTTCAGAATCTTCCAAACTTTGGAGTATTGTACCAAACCACAAACTTTTTGCAGTACCTTCATGTGTAACTCATTCAAGATAAGGAATTTAAAAGAAAATGAGCTATAACTAGAAGAGGGTGGTGAGGTCAGTGAGGATGTTTAAATGTATGAGGATTTTAAGTATACTACATGTAGAATGGTAAAATGATTGTTTGTATACACTTCATCTGTATCACAAATACCAAGATTTTACCATTCCTGTGCCATTTACTCCTTCTCTGTTATAGCAGAAGTATTTTTAAAAATCTGATTTTACCTTTAAACATTTTAGCATGCATCTCAAAAAAATGAAATGACACTCTCTTACAGAACCTGATGCTATTATCACACTTGTTAAAAGTAATTCTTTGATTCTGTCCAAAACCCAGTCCTTGTCATTACTTCAAATATGTTTCAAATAAAACTTGTTTGAATTCAGATTCAATCAAATTCTGATTTACATTTTGTCATAGTATCTCTTAAGTCTATTCTGTGTGGAAAGTAATCCCTTCTTTATTGAATGAGCTGGAGCAATTGTCCTGCAAACTATTTTGTATTCTTAGTCAGCATCTGTTTCCTCAAGGTGTCATTCATTTATTTTCTTTTTTCAGTGTTATCTACAGACTGTAATGTGCCTCATGTGTTACTAGATTTAGATTCATAAGTGATACTGTATTTTGTATTACATCTGATGAAGTCATATAATGTCTGGTATTCCAGCTCTTCATCATGCTAGTGTTGATTACTGAAGTCAGTTGATGACACCCTAATGTTTTCATTGAAAATTTCCCCTCTAAAGGTTTTATCTAATAATGATCTTTGCCTAGCTTATTATTTCATCAGGATAACAAAAGGGTAATTTTCTATCAATGTCTTTAAAAATTGAAGGACTTATAATATGTTTTTTGTTTTAATAAACTTAAATCCATTTCAAATGTTACTCTTAATATTTGACATGGAGCCTTCTTATCCAGTTTCTGTGTTTCTCCCTAAAAACTGCAATTTTAAATTAATGTTGTCTTATATACTCATATTTGTACATTACACAAAATGTAGGCATATATTTTATATAACTGATTTTTAGCTTTTGTGCCTAGCTTTTGTAAAAAAATAAAATGCTACTCTTAAATAAAATGATAAATAACCAGGAGTTTAGTTTAGACACTAATGGAGCCTAAAAGCCTTTACAATGACAAAATACAGCAACTTTTATGATTTATGGTCTCATTTCTATTACACAGTTTGGTCATCCACCTGCCAGTTTTCCTTTTTTGTGATTTCTTCTTAAAAATTATGTTTTTGTGTTATCTGAGTGAAAGGATCATTAGAGTTCAGTAGAAGAATATGACAGCGTCTCTTCTCAGGATTGCAGCAATTCCCAGTGCCAGAAGTACAGTCTCCTCCCCCCCTCCAACCTTCTTTTTTTTGTAGTAGTTCTAATGGAAGATACATAATTTAATGCTCAAAGAATATGTACTACACCTGTTAACCTGTGAACTATTTTCAAATTGTCTCATACATGCTACTATGTGAAATTTAATTTTAGACATCATATTTCTTTATGGTTCAGGGATTTCCATTTACTATCTGTTAGTTCTCTGCAACCTAAAGAGAATAAGGGTTACTGTGTGGTCGGATCTGGTATGTATTCTGCCATGTCAGACTTTTAAAGACATCAGTTGTATAATCTATTTACCTAGTGTCATGTTATTCTTTTAAAAGATCCCTGTTTAACTTCAAATGTTTTGGCATCCACAGACGAGCACTCTGTAGTTGTCTACCAAAGCAGTAATAGAATCCAATCTATGCTTTGTGTGGTCTATTGGTCTAGATAAGTACTTTTTACATTAGTTATATTGATCAATTCTCATCCTTTTACTCATTTATTGGACAGTTAATACAACCTTGTAAAGACTCCCTAGAGCATTTCTGTAAACTAGAACACTTTACTCAACAACCACAAATGTACATAGACAAGAATTGAGACAAACTGATTAAAAGATAGAGAGAAAACTGAGTCCAAACTCCAATTATGTTTCTCAGGTTCTGTCCATCTTTACAAATGAAAGGTGTACTTACTGTCTGTTGAAATATATTCTGGGGCTAGCATTGTGGTATAGCAGGTAAAGCCATGAGCTGCAACATCGGCATCCCATATGGGTGCCAGTTGGAGTTCCAGCTGTTTCACTTTCAATCCAGCTCCTTGTTAATGGCCTAGGAAAAGCAGCAAAATGTAGTCCAGGGGGTTGAGCCCCTGCCACCCACGTGGGAAATCTGGAAGACGCTCCTGATTCCTGCCTCCTGGATCTACATGGCCCAGCCCTGGACATCATGGCCATCTGGGGAATGAATCAACAAATTAGGCCGGCGCCGCGGCTCACTAGGTTAATCCTCCGCCTAGCTGCGCCGGCACACCGGGTTCTAGTCCCGGTTGGGGCGCCAGATTCTGTCCCGGTTGCCCCTCTTCCAGGCCAGCTCTCTGCTGTGGCCAAGGAGTGCAGTGGAGGATGGCCCAAGCGCTTGGGCCCTGCACCCCATGGGAGACCAGGAGAAGCACCTGGCTCCTGCCATCGGATCAGCGCGGTGCACCGGCCGCAGCGCGCTGGCCGCGGCGGCCATTGGAGGGTGAACCAACAGCAAAGGAAGACCTTTCTCTCTGTCTCTCTCTCTCACTGTCCACTCTGCCTGTCAAAAAAGAAAAAAAAAAACAAATTGAAGATTCTCTCTCTCGCTCTCCTTCTCTCTCTTTGTGTAACTCTTACTTTCAAATAAATAAACAAATAAATCTTGAAAACATTAAGTAAATATTTTCTACACCTAGAGATAGTTTTTCATAGATTGGAATTTTCATTGTGTAAAAATTTACTGGCCGGCACCGCGGCTCAATAGGCTAATCCTCCACCTAGAGGCACCGGCACACCGGGTTCTAGTCCCTGTCGGGGCACCGGATTCTATCCCGGTTGCCCCTCTTCCAGGCTAGCTCTTTGCTGTGGCCCGGGTGTGCAGTGGAGGATGGCCCAAGTGCTTGGGCCCTGCACCCGCATGGGAGACCAGGAGAAGCACCTGGCTCCTCGCTTCGGATCAGCGCGATGTGCCGGCCGCGGTGGCCATTGGAGGGTGAACCAATGGCAAAAAGAAGACCTTTCTCTCCGTCTCTCTCTCTCACTGTCCACTCTGCCTGTCCAAAAAAAAAAAAAAAAAATTTTTTTTACTGATTTTTGCTTCCTATTCCTGTGATACAAGAGTGTTTTCTAGAATAAGCATCATAATATTTTATTACTTTAAATTCAAAACTAATAAAATGGTTTATGCATAAAATGTAGAGCAATATGAATATTACTTTTCCAATGTTTGTAGTTTTGCAACTTTTGTCCTTCAAAAAAATTTTGAAAACATTTTTACAGGGTGACCTGGGATTTTGAAAAACAATGATACCTAAAGGAAATATGGCAGTGCCTAATTTTTTTAATTAGAATTTTTAACATATGATTCTATTGATTTTTGTGACAACTGTTTAGAGAAGAAATACTTATTTTTGAGACAGGAGTTGATTTCTTGTGTTAGAATGCAGAGAAGATTACGAGTAAATATCAGGCTGCTGTAGTAAGCCTCAGAAGAGTCTCAAATACTGATCACATTTTTATTAATTTAAGGTATAAATTTAAGGTGTAAAGTAAGTTACAGGACCTGTATATTACACCCCACCAATTTCATATTCATCTACTTCATATTAATCTAGATGTGGAACAAATACTGTTACTCTCTCAATTTGTAAATTTAAAATTTTATTAACTGCTTATAAATTGCATTTTAAGTCTGATATTCTGTCCTTTTTATCAAAAGTATATCATCAGTAAAGGAAGCATTGATTCATTTATCCAACAAGTATTTGCTGCACAAAACAAATAATTTACTGTTCACTATAGTTTATTTTGTTGTAGAAAAGTAAAGAATAAATATAAAATTTTAAGTAGTGGTTAAAAATCAGATTAAATGAATAGAAGATGGTAGAATTGCAGAATTTTAACTTCTTTGTTAACTTTCCAAGTTTTCCTTTTTCCCATAAGAGTGAAGTATTATTTTCATTATGGCCCCATTGTTCTATCCATGCTGATACCTCCATTATCTTTCATACTATACTGGCAAACAGTGATCTAGCTTGGTCTCTGTTTCCCAGCAAAGCAGTAAGCTCTTTGAGAACTAGTTCATAGATCTTCATCTCAGTGTTGTCAGTTCCTAGCCATAAATTACTTTATAAATACTCAGTTAATATGTCAGTGTATGAAAAAAAAAGAAAAAATGAGGGGCTGGCGCCGTGGCTCACTTGGTTAATCCTCTGCCTGCGGCGCAGGCATCCCATATGGGCGCCCGGTTCTAGTCCCAGCTACTCCTCTTCCAGTCCAGCTCTCTGCTGTGGCCTGGAAGGCAGTGGAGGATGGCCCAAGTGCTTGGGCGCCTACACCCGCATGAAAGACCAGGAAGAAGCACCTGGCTTCGGATCACCATAGCTCTGGCCGTGGCGGCCATTTGGGGGGTGAACCAATGGAAGGAAGACCTTTCTCTCTGTCTCTCTCTCACTAACTCTGTCAAATAAATAAATTAAATTAAAAAAATTTTTAAATAGGAGCACATGGTTCAATTGAACTTTTTGAATTACTTTATTGTTCTCTTTTACATGATTTTATTATTGTAGCCTCATTTTCTGTAACTTTTCATAAAAAAGAAAATTAATAGAAATGTTTTCTGAAAATTAATATTTTTGTCCATAGGTACTACTGAACGAGTGTGCTTGATCCAGGGAACAGTTGAAGCATTGAATGCAGTTCATGGATTCATTGCAGAAAAAATTCGAGAAATGCCCCAAAATGTGGCCAAGACAGAGCCAGTCAGCATTTTACAACCCCAGACCACCGTTAATCCAGATCGCATCAAACAAGTGAGTGTTTAGTTGGGAAAATCAAAGAGAAATTTCCACAGCATAATATGAATTTCTTTAAAAAGAAGCTTTTAAAGTCTTAACATATAAAGTTTGTTTTTCTAAACATACATAAGACGTACCAGAGTTGTCAGTTGTTTAAAGACTATCAAGGTCTCTTTCTCTGATTGACCAATTGATTGATTGATTGATTTTTTTTTTCATTTATTAGTGTTACACTGAGGAGCACTTATGTGACTCTTTTCATTGTGATTGTTCTTTAAAAATTTATCTACACACTTTATTAATTTATAGGAATTGATTCTCTTGAATATTATATTGCTTTTTAAATAAAATATAAAGATTGAAATGAAATTATATCCTCAAATTTCTAATGCCCTATTTTTAGTGATATCTGTAGCCTGCAGTGTAGTTATTATGCAGACTCCTGTTTTGCTAATTAATCATGTTCAACTTTTTTATCAACAAACATGTATAAATAAATATTTGTACCTAGCATTCAGTCTTCTGTTACAAATTAGCTATTATGTTTTGTATAATTTCTGTAGTATTTATATACACATATTTGTGTGTGTGCGTGTCATAAAGGGCCAGTGTTCATTTTACATGTATGAGATTCTCTGTAAAAAAACAATTACTTGGTAAAAACGCATGTGAGTTTTTAGATTGAGTAATGGCTGATGTGTAGGGGGAAACTGACATTATTTAATGTTAAACAAGGTGGATTTTTCCACCATAAATTCTTTTTAAATCTATACATTTATTTGGTACTTTATATTCCTAACTATTATTTCTGCCTTTGCCCTTTTACAATTAGCCTTTTAATTTGTGATTTAATTTTGCTCTCAACAGACTATACCTTCCAAAGAAATGTATTATTCTACAGAATTCATACAGTATTTAATTTACAGTATATTTGTGTTAATTGTAATAAATGTGAAATGTAGCTCAGTCTTATTAATTTCATGTTTCTGAATGGAAAAATGTTCTTATAAAACAGTGATTTGAAACTTATATTTGACCAATAGAGACAAATATAATGCTAGACAAATATAAAATTAATAATTAGGCAATACATTTTCAAATAGGCTAATATCCAATATACAATAAACTTTCAAAAAACTTCTCATATTCAAATTATGGATAGGTAGCTCTTATTTCATATAAAATTATTCATATCATGCTCCTTGTCAGTGTAAGATGGTTTAATTTGTATAATTTTCATAAATTTTTAAGGAAAAGTCCCTCAGTTTATACATGACAGTATTTAAAATTTCAAAGCTATAAACATCAATGGAAATTTTTATTCTTTACTACTCTTTATAATATTGAACTATTTATTCTGTCATGCTAGGTAAATAGCTATAATTTAGAGACTCATGATGTCCTGAAAATGATACCATGACTTTATCAAATTTTAAAGCCAGGAGTCTAGTTGAATACCTCTGGATTAAAATCATCTGGGGATAACAAACTAAATGAACACTGAATTATAAAATCTATTGACTTCCTGCACTTTGCCATCCTATTACTTTTCCATTTTCTTTTGTAACATCTGTAGGAAATTTTAAAATGTAGGGAGAGAGGTGAACCTCTTGTTTTATTTTTGTTTTGTTTTTAAGTAAAACATAAATGTAGTTTGAGTATAATATCATTGGCAGTATGTTCAGAACAATTATATAAACTGATTTTTATTATTTGTATAAGCACAAAAGCTTCTGCCCTCACATAAAGACCTGCAAATCATTGTTAAAAGTCCAGTTTTCTCTAGTAATGTGAGATTTATAGTTTATACAGTGCCAGTACACATTTATGAAGAATAGAGTTTTAAAATTTTTACCTTATTTTTATTTGCCTCGTTGGGATAATGTTATTTAAATTCAGTGCAAGTGTTTAAAAAAGGAATAATTTTTGTTTTAATTTTATGTATTTGCATTAATTTGTAAGCCTTGTAGATACTATGGAATTAAAATTATTGTTGATTTAATATTTTCATATGATCACTAATACATGTGGAATAGAGTATCATTTGAAAGAATTTACCGAGAACAGTCAGTCTGGTAGAGCAATGCACTTCATTTATAATGTAAAATTTTACAAGTTTACATGAAAATCTAGAGAAGTAGAACAAATTTCCAAGATATAGATCAACTGGCCTTTTGTGCTGTTTGTTCTCTAACTTGCTAGGTATCCAATTTAACCAATATGTTAGTGGATCATTCTGTACATAGCGCAGTAAGTCAAGTATATAAATTTCAATGGGAGTGATCTTTATATCTGAATAATCATGCCAATTATATAGTATAAAATAATTATCTAAATCATTTTGCTGTAAAGTACATGAAAACCTTTTTATGATCTGTATATATTTTAAAGTTTTAATACATAAAATAATAATAAGATTTCTTATTAATGACAGTCTTTCAGTGTCAGACATTTATATTACATATGCTTAGCTCTTACTTCAAAAGTTACTTTTCACAAATATTTTTATAATAGTTTATTAACAATTTTCTCCTAAATAATGTTGCTTAAAAGATAAAGCTAGAATTTTAAAAATTCTGGACCCAAAGCAAATCTAACTACAACATAGGAATGGATTAATGTTGAATATGAAATTATGGATTTTATTAATGTTTCAATTATTGCATTTGCCCATTGTCTTTGGTGATTGATAATTTTAAGATTTTAATGTTAAAAAGTATAATGTAAATGTAATTTTGACTTAAAATAGGAAGTCAAATTTGGTTCTAAACACATAACTTGCTTTAAATGTGAGCATTTTATACTACCTATTATGGACTTACACTATATTATTATATTCTGAATTGTATTATCAATCTAAAATTGGTAACCGAATATATTACATAAAGCAGAATTTTCTGCCCAAGCAAAACATACCCTTATTAAATGAACAGGTTTTCAAGCAAGTATATTTTCTTAGGACTGTACTACATAATGATCTTGCAATTTTTAAATACAATGGAATTATGAAATCAGGTATGATAACCCTTTTTGTTTGGGACTTCTGGATTTTTAATTCGTGAATGTTTTTTTCCGAGCAACTATGTTAGGGAACAAGTGCCTGTGAACATTTAAGGAATTCTCTTGTATTTAAAAAAAATTTAAAAGATATTTTAAAAATGTAATTTAGCCCAAGAAATTTTATTTCATCATAGAAAATGTTCTAAAATAGCACTTAATTAGGTTGCTATTCATTCTGTTAATCATGAATTTATTAATACCTTCTTGGCAAAATATTTTAAATGGTCACACTTGCTATGTAGGATTAACTAACCAAATTTGATATATATGCTTAAAATACATTAAAAACCTAAAAACTATATTTACTGATAAGAATTACAGTATAAACCATGTACTGTACTATAAAAACGTGGGAGGGGTATGAAGGAACTGCAGACTAGACTGAAAATAGTAAAATAGTTAGAATTTGAAACAGAACTCAAAAAGTGTACAGGAATTGTCTAATGAAAGCAGAAAAAAGAAAAAAAGGCTTATTAAGGAAAATGAAACAAAATGGATTCTGGGAGAGGGATGTAATTTTTTGCATAGTAAAGGAACTGTCATGTCAAACCCAGAATATTTATGTTAGAGTTCAGAGCACAATTTAGTGTTAAATAGATCAGTTGGGGTGGGATAATGGAAAAGCTTGGATGTCTGGCTAGGGTCATTCTTTGAACTTTGGCTTATTCCTATTTTCCTGAACAGCCTTTTAAATTTCTTAGTCAGACAATGAGGGGGAAAAGGTGGAACCTAGGCATTTGTTATCTTCTGTACTAAAATTCCAGATGGATTCTTAGGGTTCTTGAAAAAGGAAAAGAGAACTAGGGTAGATGTTGAGGGTTTGTCAAGCTGCTGTAACAAGAGGAGGATATTTATCAGAATGGAAAACTAAAGGCTTTAAATATTTTATTCCTTATTTGTGCAGCAGTATGCAGCTTTAACAGAACTTGAAACAGAAGTTAAGGCAAGTGATTACCAGAGAAATATTACTCAGCTAGTGATAGATTCCAAATTACAATTGAAATGTGTCATTCATTGATGGTTCTGCTATACCTATTGCAAGTTCTTGAACACTCTATTAGTGTAATCTTACTTGAAAGCAAATTATGTTGATTATGGTGTTTGTATATCATAATAGTTTCTGGTCCAGCAAAACAATCTCTTAAACAGAACTCATAATTTGTAATTATTTTTAGTGATTTATGTGTACGTTTAATTAAGTATCTATTGTTATATTCCTGATTTTTAAAAATTAGTTTCTATTTCAAAGGATAACTATTTTAAAAATATTAAAATACTCCAAGTTTTTCTACAATAACTAGCTCAGCTTCCAATGTGTGAGGAACTCTTCAACAGCTATTCAAGTTGTGTAGATATCTGAGAAAGTACTGCTATAAAATGACTGTATCTTTTATTTTCATGAATTTGAGACTGTAAAAGTACTTTTGAAGGAATATGTGCTTTGTAAATATTATTTATAAAAATATATCACCACAGTGATATTAGGTAAATATTAAGTTAATTACATCTTCCTGATGTATTCCATGAATTTTACTAAATATTTAACGTAAAATTTCTAATATTTACCCAGTTAAAGATTCTACATATTTTGCATGTAAAATATTAAGAAATATTATACATTGAAATATTTCTTGTGGATTTTGCTGTTCCAGCTCTCTGTTGAGAACAACTATTACATCTGTTCCATTAAATTAATTAATAGAACATTTTAAATTAAATGTGTTACTTTAATATATTTACATTTATCTACTTATGAGAACAGTTTTTTCTGGCATTTAAACAAATTATCTGAAATGAAAAGTCTCCGAAATTCTTTTCATTATATTTACTTGTAATGGGAGGAGACATGCTTGAAAGCACCTATATGAATAATAGCTAAAAAATGCCATATATTTAATTTATTACATTTTCATTAGTTTAGGAATTTAAACCAAGAAAATATGTATGTAGTGACAATTTACTGTGATATTTCAATAGCATTATCCATTGAAGTCCAAATTTAATTCTTTTCACCTGTTTATTTAAAATATTAAAAATGTAACTTATCATATTACAGTATTTAATAGCCAAACTTTAAGTTATTTTAAGCATATGGATATTGTCCAGAAGTTTCAAAATTATGGCTTTTATTCCCATGAGAAAGAAGAAACAGTTTCGAGACTAGTAAGGACAACTTGATGAATGTGAGCTGTATCAATTAATAGTTTGTGTTTAATATTTTATATATATGCCATAAAAGTCAGGGCAGTGAAAAAATCAACAGATTATGTTATTTTAAGTAACTACAAATTCTAAAGTACTTGCTGTTAATACTTTTTGTACATAGTTCTTTTCGAAGCTTAAAAACATTGTTGAGGATTTTTATCCAGTTACAAGGTGGATGCCCTAGTGAACATACAGTATTTCACATTGATTTTACTCTGATAAAAATAGAAGAGCTCAACACACATAGAATTATGTGTTTCTGTGTATCAGCGAACTTGTATTCTAACCTACATTTGGAAAAGCTACCTCTGGATTTATATGATACCTTGTTAGCCAGCAAACTAGTTATTAATCTGAGATTAGCACAGAACAAATTTTTAAATGTATGTTAACTCCTTCCGAAAATACTGTGGAGTAACTGTTAGAATCAGCAGAGAGAAACAAAAATTTTCTAGTTTTCAGTTCATGAACATGCACTAGCATGAAGTCGTTAGCAAATGTCCCAGCATAGTATTGCATGAAAAGGGAAACATTAGGGAAATTTTGGATGAGTGAAAATGAAGTCTCTCTGGGGAAATAGCAAGAGGTTTTACTTCAGATAATAGCCCTCTCTCTTTCTTTTGTTATATTAGATTTGATAAAATTGTTGGGATGACTCACCACTAGTATAGTTCTCTTGAAACTATTTTAAATTTTAACCTAGCAGGAATCAGGAACTATTTGAGGGGTGGACTACATGGTACAAGATTTAATGCTAGAAGAACCATTCTTAATTTGTTCCTGGAAGGTAGTGAGTTAACTATGAGTCGGTGAATTTCTTGTCATTTCCTTTAAACTTAACTGCCTTATTCTACACAAATTAGAACTTTAGAAACCATATATGCAAAAAATATGACTTTAAGTAATTTCGTGATGCTTTACCTGACAATGCTGAACCTTTAAAGTTATGCTTTTGCTCATATCTGAGTAATTTTGATGGATATGTATTAACGTAAAACAATATCCATATGGAATTGTATTTGTACAATAAAAAGCTATCCCATTTTTCCTATTAAGAAATACTGTCTGTTGAGGATACTGCTTAAAGCAATGCTATTTTGCTAACTGAACATCATGCTTTTTTTAAAGAAAAAAATCAACATCTTAGCCTTTAAGGTTACTCGATTAGACATGAGAACTTTTTAAAACATTTTAATGAATTATTCAAGTAATTATGTCTGATACAGCATATTTTCATGTATATTTATTTAGAAATGAACAATAAATATGATTCCTAATATTTTTGTGCTTATTTTCAACACAGGCTGACGATGCTACAATATATTATACTCTTCATATATATGAAATGTACTGTTTAACATAAGTTATAAAAACAATATTTTGGTAACTTTTTGGAACACTATTAGTTACCATTTTATTAATATAGTACTATAATATTAATATGAGGTAAATGTTTACATTTTCAGATGGGCTCTAAATTTATTAAAAATTAATCTTTTAGAAGATAATGTGATAATAAGAACTCAGAACTTCAAATTTAATTGCTTTTAAGTATGGATCCCTAAATTCATGTGGAATCAGCTTGTTGGTGATGTTCAACATATTAAGTAGGTAGATATTTTTATGCCAAAGTAAACTTCATTTCACCACTTCTTCAAATTTCCGACTGTATTCATTGATAGGAAGATGACTCTTTCAGTTTTTGTGAATTGAACTTACTGAATTTTTCTTTGACTTATCTTTTCCCCAAGAAAATAAGAGGGAAAGTAATGAGACTACTATTCATGAATATGGTCAGGATACTTTTAATACTCATGTGAATTTTTATCAGTCACCATCATGGTTTCAAGTCATGAATTTATTTTTACATGCTTATGCATGCATATCTACATGCATTAGTTAATTAATCTTAAATTCCATTAAATTTGAATGAATAGGAGAAAATTTATTCATAGGATTTTGTTCTCGTTATATTACATTTTATTTTATTTTGTTTTACTTAAGTAATCAGTTTAAGGCTTATAAAGGTTGATTTGCTCCTAAACTGCTTTGTTCCCAGACATTGCCATCTTCCCCAACTACCACCAAGTCCTCTCCATCTGATCCCATGACCACCTCCAGAGCTAATCAGGTACAGTATCATGCTCTCATCTACACCATACTTTTCACGGGTGATTGCCTGCAAACTGGAGAAATAGATAATGGTGGGTTAAGGATTTTATTCGTTCATTCACATGTATGTACCATGATCAGACTCCAATTAACTATGAAGGAAATAACCATTATTCCTAACATTTTAAATACATCTTTAATTTTAAATAACAAAAAATATATTTAGAACAGACTTCTGGAATTCAATTCTCCCCTTTAAATTGTGACTACTCTGTGAAGCTCTGAGGGCTATCTATTGAGTTGGTATTTTTAATTTCCCTTATTGTGTCTTTCTGGGATTCTTAGTATGTGAGTTAAGGATATCACATAATATGTAAAAAAAATCAGTGTATAAATTGAGCAAAGGTATATCTTTAAAAGTGAATGCAATTTTATTTGTGACACACTTTACTATGGAAACAATTGAAACTATTGATGAAAATCATTTCTAACAACCTAAAAATAACCAAAAATTGAGATTTGTGATCATTTTAATATTATCTAACAACTAAGGAGATTATTTTTTTTAGTTTTTATATTCTAAGCATTTTAATTGCTGCAGTTTCAAACATTACAATTAGAAATATATTTTATAGTTTGGCTTGATTGTTTTGGAACATTTATTTGTAGGAAGTCCTTCAAAACTGTAAATGCTGAATAATTTTATTAAAATGATTAAAACATTTCATTTTGTCTGAGTTGAGCTTCATTTAGGTGAGAAATGCCATTTTTAATATTTCCACTTTTTTTAAACTAATACAATGCCTCATGGGATAACTTTGCTATTTAAAGTTTATCTTTTTAGTTGCATATAGTTGACTGACAAATTATTGACTTTGAACTATATTTGCTACATATTTTAAATGTGGCCTTTGCATACTATCTGATATAAAGCTATCAGAATTATTTTCCTCATTTAATGATTCTGATCCTTTTGCAACATCAGGAAAAAAAATTAATGTACTCACTGGAAGTAATGCTAAAATTTAGCTTGTATTTTTATACTAGGAATTTTATTTTCATTTTATGCAGTAGTATTTCCTTCAAATAAAAGCACTTATAATGCTCACGTTTGACCTCCCAAAAAATGGTTAGTAAAATGTACATCTTTAATGGTGAAACCCCGCTGAATGGAGAAGTAGGACATAAAGTGAGAACCATGATTCCATTATGTATGCACAAACTTGAAAAGTAGTTAGACATTTCTTACTGTACATACCACATCTTTACATGGGTTTTAATTCTATGTTGCAGAAAGTTGTTGGGAAAACAACGGATCTTGTTTTTAGTGTCTCTCTTATGCATCATCATTCTTTCTTCCTCCATACAAAAAGAAGAAAAATGAGTAAAACAATAAAAACTAATAATTTTTCTCAAGATAATAAAAAACCTAAGTCCATAAAAGAAATTCATCTTAATTTGTCTCTGAAATTAGAGTTTATTCTTTCATTTATCTTATATGAACATACGAATTTTTAAAAATTATTTTAAAAAATAATTTCTTAAGTCTAACTATATGTTAAAATGTACTAATATTGTATTTTACCATGCAGATAAGTTAGTACATTCATCTCTGTCAAATCTAATGTTTAGCTTATTTAGAGTAAGTCATTTGTGATTTTATATTCTGTCTACTGGATTGCATTATATTTGTTATTTATGCTCTGTTTTCTTCTATTCTTATACAAAGAAGCATAATATCTCCTGGATAACATGAAGTGAGATATGAGAGAAGAACAACACAAAATGCTTAATTCATTGAAAGAATTGTGGTTATCTTCAACATTTATGTTATTAGTAGTTGATAATTATTTTATTCTCTAAACTATTTCCCAAAAACATTCTGGCATGTGATAGGACAGAAGGAATTTGTGTTTTTGTTCTTCCTGTGGAATTTTTTCCACAAATAAAAAAGACATTTCAACATATAAGACCATAGCTCTTATAGTTCGTTTAATTTAGTTTATTCTTGCCCAGTAATTTAACAGATATGTCTCCAGTTTTATAAGTAGCAGAAAAGGATCAAAGCCAAAGATTTCTGTTCTAGATTAAGTTATTATTTATGGGTTATAGTTAAAATGACACCCCTTGATACTAAAAGTAATTATAAACTTTTTTTCATAAACTATTTGTAAGCCAATATAAAATATATTTCCCAGTGTTCAGTACTCCTGGCTTCAGCCTGGACCATTCCTGGCTGTTGTAGGCATTTGAGGAATGAACAAGCAGATGGAAAATCTCTCTCTGTCCCCATCTCTCACTCTTCTTTGTCTCTGTCTCTTCGCCTTTCAAATAAAGTGAAATTTAAAAAAAAATCCAGATAACTAACATTTATGATATTTCATTAATGTTAGCTAAATGAATTTTAATTCTTTTATTTCCAGAATAAATAATTTGTCTGTATTACAAACTAATATGATAAAAACAACTAATGGACTAGAAGTATTCATACAACCCCAAAATTGAAAGCACAGAAATCAATTCAATGAGTAAGTTTGAATTGCAGTTAAAATTCTTTTCTGCTCTTATAAAAATGATTATGTGTTTCAGTGTATACTGAATTTTACTTTCTTAACTTTCAGACCTTTTAACATATTTCTGATCAGAATGACAGATTATAACTATAGTATTTTGCTGTAATAATTTCATCCTGAAAATGGAGGGACTATCATGTAAAAAACCTTTAGATAAAATATGGTTAAAAATCAAAACTAGAGCCAAATTACCCATGATCAAATACTACTCTGCCATTTCCTTGTTTAATTACCTTCAGTCTCAGTATTCTATCTGTGAAATTCAGATAGTAGCATTTCATATGATTGACATAAGAAATGATTAACTTTTTTTAGAATACTGTCCAGAATATAATAAGCACCATATATATGTAAGATTATTTAAAAATACCTTTCAACTAGTAGTATGGGAAAAAAGTTGTTCTTTGAGACAGCAAATAGTAGACCAGACAACTTATATTGCCTGGTATAAAAAATGAGTTTTACCTTTAGAAATATTAGTATTGGTGTTTCTTTTTTAATTTTGCAATATTTCTCTAATCAAAATCTGCTTTAGCATAAATGATAATTTTAATTTTTTTTTGAGAATGTTAAATCATTTGTTGCATAGTAGTGAATTATTTCATTACTTAAAAAGATGAAGTAGTAGGGCTAATAGTTTTTTACTGATGATTTTTAATGTGAAATGCAAGTCTGAGAAAATTTTTACATACAAAATTTTAAACATGAAGCAAATATAAAGATATAGAAAATAGAGTTAGACTCTGTGAAGCAACACATGGAAATTTTCAAAAAGAACGCAAAAGAATCTATAGCATTGTTAGTTCTAAGTTACTTAGGCTAATTTATTCAATCACATCATTAAGATTCAATAATACACTTTTTAAGCCAGTTGGTGATGCTAAAAATGATATGTTCCTCAATGGTCATTTTCCTGGAATTTATCTCAAGTTTTGAGAAAAAAAAGAAAAAGGATGATTCCAGGATATGTGCCTTATATGTATTTATTTATTTATTTACTGATAAAGTTGAAATTATATATGATATTTATTAAAATATATAAAACAATATAAGTAGGTAACATATAAACTACCCCTTCTTTGATTGCAGAAAACAAATTAAAACTAATTTGTGTCATGTTAAATTCATGATCTCAAATAAATTCTTAGTCTTAAAAATTTTTATTTATTTAAGGTGAATGAATTTCATGTATTTCAATATATACAGATTTAGGAACATGGTGATGCTACTCATGCTACCCTCTCTTCCTCCCACAACTCCACCCTCCCTCCTCCTTCCTTTCTTATTTTTTTTTAATTTTTACAATAACATACTTTCAGTTTATTTTATAGTCATAAGCTTAGCCTTCCCCTAAGTAAAGAATTCAACAAATAGAAGGGAAAAAACCACATTTCTCAACAATATAGACAAGAGCTGTAAACAAATCTCAAAATGTCAATTTTGCTCATATACATTACATTTTTTGTACTTTGTTAGTTACCACAGATAGGGAAACATATATTTGTCTTTTGAAGACTGGTTTATTAATGGATTCTTAATTTTGTCCGTAAGCCCACTGACTTTCTTACTCTCCGAATGGTTCAGTTTTTCTCTCTTTTCAATCCTCTATTAGTTTTCTGTTGCTGTTTAAGAAATTACCACAAGTTCAGTGGCTTAAACAGGATGCATTAGTCTCTCATGGTTTGTGTGCATCACCAGCCCAGGCGTGACTTAAGCCAAACAGATGGAGTCCTCAGTCTCAATGCTTGAAATCAGTGTCGGCCAGGCCGCATTCTCATCCAGATGCTTGACCTGGGACTAATCAGCTTCCCCTTTTTGGCAGCTTTCAGGTTCTTGCAGCAATTTGACTGAAGACCTGGACTTGTTAGTTGACTGTTGGCTGGAGACAGCCCTCAGTTTCCAGAGCCCACTCACAGATCCCTGTCGTTTTGCCATCTCCCCATGCACGTCATAGCTAGATTGCTTCCTGCCAGATCCGCAGGAGACTCTCCATTGTGTGCTTGCAAGATAGAGTCTTACATATTGAACCTAATTACAGGAGTGAATTCCTCACCACCTTTGCCATAAATCGTAATCACAGTAGTAACATCTTACCACTTTTCCCATATTCTTTTGGTTAGAAACAAGTCATGTTTCACAGGGAGAGGATTATGCAAGAGATAACACCAGTGAGTACAGAACATTTGGGTGCCATCTAACAGTTGTTCCTACCACAACCCCCCCCCCCCATATCTCTTGCTCCTCCTTCTCTCAGCTAATGACCTGATTTCCTACTTTACTGAGAAAACTGAAACTTCAAAAGAGAACTCCCATAAACTCACACCAAGAAATACTTAACAGACCAGCATTTCCAGCATTTTTTGGAGAGTTATTTTATTGATCTGAGAGGCAAAGAGTGAGTGACAGAGAATGAAGGACAGAATTCTTCCATGTGCTGGTTCACTGC